AATTTATAAAAGCAGTCAAAATCAATGAGACAAAGGCATACTACTTAAGTAGTCACTTTTTATAGTACATACTTTGTCTTGGCGATCAGAAAGGAGCTCCTTAAAAAGCCGGAATCCTGAAGTGTCCAAAATATCTTGAGATTAGGCTATATGATCGTCTCTATTACAACCATCGGCAATTAATATGTTCCAATCAAACACTCATTTCAGAATTCCGGGTGAAGTTTCATGAGATAGGGAATCTACTGTATAAGGGAGGTTCACGACTGCACAAATTACCGCCCTGCCAGTCTAACTTGCACCGCGTGTAAATTAGTGGAGCGTATTATCAAGAAGTATTTAATGAGACTCCAGGAAAGAAACGAAATCTTACGCAATACCCAGCACGGCTTTCGCCTAGGACGCTCTCGCCTCACGAGGGTTATTTACTCGCATGAGGAGTGGACAAAGGCCACAGATAAGGGCTATCCAATTGATGTCATAGTTTTCGACTTTAAGTAGGCATTCGATAGTTTACCGTACAGGTTTATTCTACAGAATATTTGGGGCGTGGGTATTCAAGGACCAGAGAGGATCTTTGTTGGAAACACACGTCGAAATACCTAAAAGCAGAAAGTGGCGAACCACAAGATTCTGTTTTGGGCCCGCTACTGCTCCTAATCTACGTAAATGACGATCTAAATGACCTAGACTGCGCAGCTGCTATGTTTGCGGATGACATAAAAACATGGACAGAAGTAAGCTGTACTGACGACGTAAAGAAGTTACAGTCGACCATCGATAAACTGACAATCTGGTCAAAACTTTGCCTAACGTAATCAGTCAAAATAGAGCAGTTAATGAATCTTGGATAGTCAGTTTCCATCGATGGAAAAGAGAGTGTGTTGAGCTCGCCTGATCTATTGGCGCGCCTCGACATATGCGGCCCGGCACGATTGGCGACATCATTGAGGCAAACGAGATGAGACATGAACACAGCCGTACCAAGTAAATGGTAGTACCTTGAATTTGATCTAACGACCGGTGTGACTGGATAGGTCGAGGCTCACTTAGTGCTAATCGGAGATAAACTTATTACCAATCGATGGCAACGACATTGCGCTCGTTCTTCCGATTCATCAAGCGTACGTCCTTTGAAAAATCGCCTCAGCTTAAGCAGTCTGAGCAATTGCACCACACGGCGTGCCCTATGCTTGCGAACTGCGGAATAGTGGTCTTAAAAAGCCAATACAAGCGAAAAAGGTATGCATACGAACTTTTTCTATCCTCTAAAATGTGTTCCACATAAACAGTTGTTTAGTTTTATTGAAATAGACTGCACATACCAAGCTGGCAGTACGAAAAGTTATGCTTTCAAGATAGGTAAATATTAAATACCTGCAAATCCTTCTTATTGCCGACCAAGATTACGACGACGTTGGGACTGGCCAACTGCCTCGCATCGCTTAACCACTGGCCAACGGCATCAAAAGACTGGCGATTAGTAACGTCGTACACCAGCAGTGTACCGACAGCGTCCCGATAGTAAGATCTAGCCATGGAACGGAAACGCTCTTGACCTAAATAACATAAATAAAAAACGTAGCAAATGGTAGTTTTCGTACAAAAATACAATGTTTTTAAGTTATGGCTGAGCCGAAGACACTAAGGGTAAGTAAGCTGGGACCCGAAGGATGAATAAATAACTGAGTCTACTTGCATTATGTTAAATAGTCATCTAGTATTTGCGTAAAAAGGATACAGAATACAAGGTCTGGTGATTTTGTCAAGCAAACTGAAGAGACAAGCACGAATCGAATCTATAAATCCTTGAAGAATAGAAGCCCCGTCACGAACCAACGTAAGAGAAAGAGCTTGATATTTAAGGATTTGAATGTGGGCAGTGATGGGCCGATTATTAGTGCCAAACGGAAGCATACATAGTGATAACAGAGACAGCTGAGGGGAGGACTGATGGAGGGCTTCTATGGGCATGTCAGGACTTTGCTTTGAGTCTAAATTCAACACTTTCAGTATTTCATTGATGGGATTTGCGAGCCATTCTTCGATGAGACTTCCGAACTCTTTTAATTCTACCCGGCACACAAACGGTGAAGTACACTTTTCTTAAAAAGCAAAGTAGCTTGCTCGTAAGTGTGCCGTAATACCCTGGGTGTCAATTCGGCCGATATGTGGTTGCGTTTAAACATGGGCCTGACGGACTGGGCATGAAAGCCAAATTAGGACACAGTTAAACTTGATAAAACCAGAACTCCAGCTAGTTCGTAGACAAGAGGTCTACTTTCTGCGTTCCTGGCATGTTAGCTTGCTCGAATGTAATGAAGCGTGCCACCGAGAGGCTGTACTAGTGAAGACCATGCAGCATGCAGTTAACCAACACAGCAAACCCCGAAAAATCGGTCGCAATGAATGAAATGAGCATTAAAAGCAGAAGCAGATCATAGATGATTCGAAGAGATTAAACTATAAGTTTCATACATCTGGTAATGTCATGGTACGGACATACTATTTTTATTACCGTACGAGATTGGCTTCGGCGAAAAAAAGTGAGATGGGTAAGGTCCCACAAAAATGCAGAACATGCGACCTATTCAGATGTTATGGGTTAATGAAGTTCTTTTTTGTGTAAATATTACATTGGTCCCTGAAAAAGCTGGAGGGTGGATGCGCTGAATTAACACGGAGGCCAGATCGGGGCTGGACGCCAATAAAACATATCAAATAAGGCCTACAGGGGCACACTTACGTGCAGGCTCAAGTCAGCCACCTACGCCTGATTCAATCTCTCATGTACTTGACTCTGTCATGATACCTAGCCTAGG